CTCTCACACGCGCTCTCTCATGCGCTGTCTCACGCGCTCTCTCACGCGCTCTCTCACGCCCTCTCTCATGCACACCCTCACGCGCTCCCTCACGCGCATGTCAAAATGTTATAATGCTTATATTGTGTAGGCTGTCGTGGGGTAGCCCATAAGGGGTACAACCCAATTAGGGTTAGTACTTGTACTCAGTTCTATCTCAATTCAATCATTCTCGTTCAGATTCTTAACATGGTTTCAGAGCAGATCCTGTTCCAGGACCTTTTTTTTTAGGGCCCACCGCATAGTTCCCTGCCCGTAGCGCTGCCCTACTAGTCGCGCTGCCCTGCCCTGCCCGTCGCGCCGCACTGCTGGCCGAGAGCTGCCCTGCCCTCCCCGTCGCGCCGCCCTGCTGGCCGAGCGCTGCCCTGCCCTGCCCGTCGCGCCGCCCTGCCAGCCGAGCGCCGCACTGCCCTGCCTATCGCGCCGCCCTGCTGGCTGCGTGCTGCCCTGCCCTGCCCGTCGCGCCGCCCTGCTGGTAGCGCGCCGCCCTCCCCTGCCTGTCGCGTCCCCCTGCTGGCCGACGCGTCGCCCTGCTGGCTGACGCGTCGCCCTGCACTGCCCGTGCACCGCCCTGCTGACCGCCACGCCACCCTGCCCTGCCCGCGCGCCGCCCTACAGGCCACCGCGCCGCCCTGCCCTGCCCGTGCGCCGCCCTGCTGGCCGCCGCACCGCCCTGCCCTGCGCGCGCGCCGCACTGTTGGCCGCCGCCTTGCCCTGCCAGTTACGCCACCCTGCCCTGGCTGCGCGCCGCTCTTCCCTAGCCATGCGCCGCCCCGCCCTGCCTTGCGCGCTTCCCTAGTGCTCGCACGCCGCCCTACCTGTCGCGCCGTCCTTGCCTGCGTGCTGCCTTGCTGGTCACGCACCACCCTACTCTGCCCGCTATGGCTTCTCTCAGTGTTCTCACCGTCGATCATGAGGGCCATCCGATCCAGTTCGATACGTGGCTCGACGTCTTACAGCTGTACCTACTGAGCGATTCTAGAGACAGCATTTCGTTGTTTGACCACACGTCTGGAGCCTCTCTCGCCCCTCCTGCCACAGCTGACAGTGCGACTCGCTCACAGTGGCTTACCCGAGACGTTGCTGCTCGCTTAGCCGTTCGCAATCACCTGCTGTTAGGCGAACGCGCTCACTTTGGCCTGCACAAGACTGCTAAAGCCCTGTACGACACTGTAGTCACTCACTACGCTTCCCCTTCCACTCCGCCGCCTTATACTGCCCTACCTTTTTCCCAAGCTGTCAGCCTTTGCCACAGTCGAGAACCTCATCACCCACCTTCACACTAGCGACACTCGCTACTGCGCTGCTGTCACAGCCGAGTTCCTAGACAAGAACCCGCCCTCGATGTACATCACTCTCTACTTCATAGTCACCCGCCTCCCTGACTCTCTTCGCCAAGTCAGGGACCACTTTCTCGCACTTGACCCCACAGACCTCACTGTCGACCTGCTCGAGAAGCACCTCCTTGCAGCTGAGACTAGCGTAGTCGCTGTAGGTGCTGCTCGTGGCACTCCTCGCACACCCTTCTTTGAGGGGTGTCCCCCCTCCCCCTTTGCCCCCCTCCTACGCTTCTGCTGCTGCTGTTGACATCCTTGGTACTGAGGAGGTCGGGGCTGCTGCTGCTCCTAGTGGGAAGCGCCGAAGCGGAAAGGGCAAGGGAGGCAAGAGTGGTGGAGGTGGCAGCGGGGGTGGTGGTGGTGGAGGCGGTGGAGGTAGTGGAGGTGGCGAAGGTGGCAGTGGGAGTGGTGGCGGGAGTGGGGGCTTTGGTGGTGGTGGTGGTGGCAGCGGTGGGAGTGGTGGTGGTGGTGGTGGTGGCGGCACTGGGAGTGGTGGCAGCGGCAGTGGTGGCGGTCAAGGTGGAGCTTTTCAGAGGGGAGGTTCTGGCGGTGGCCAGAGGCAGCAGCAACAGCAGCGTCCGAGCGAGACCCCTACGCCCCAGCAGCTTCGTGAGTGGTTTGCTCAATGTGGGGCGTCTGGGGGTAGTTTTCGCTGCCCGTATGTCATTCGCACAGGTGACCGAGCTGGTCAGACATGCGGGATGTTTCACACACTACTCCTCTACTTCTCCCGCCTTGACGACGCTTGGCGCGCAGAGTTTGGCGACGAGGCTGAGCGCCCCCGCTGACTAGAGCTGCTTAGGTCTGGTGTTGATATCTTTGCTCTTGACTATGATGCTATCCTTGCTGCCATGTATGCCTTGATTGTTAGTGCTGAAGGTGACTGTTACTAGTGTGTGCCACGCGACCCAGGTATAGAGGCTGCTGCTCTAGGTGGTAGTGAGTCTGCTCTCTCTGGTACTGCGCCTGCTGAGGCCTTGCACACCTTCACGCTTGACTCAAGTGCTTCCCAATGTTCCTTTCACGACAGCACCACCCTCACTACTCTCTCCCGCCTCCTTGTTTCTAGTCTTCCCAGATCTCTGCCTCCCCTCCCACACTCGCCTGCCCCGCCCTGCCTTCCTTGCGTCGAGGGGCAGCAGCGCGCCGCTCCTCACTCCTCCTTGTTTCCCCCGACGAGTGCTCCCCTGCAGACTCTCCACTTGGATGTGTGGGGCCCAGCCCGCGTAAGTGGACAAGACCGTGAGCGCTACTTCCTGCTGGTTGTTGACGACTACACGCGTTACACCACGATCTTCCCCTTGCGCAGCAAGGGTGAGGTCCCTCATGTCTTCATCCCTTGGATCCGTGCAGTCCGTCTCAAGCTCCGTGAGTGGTTCTGTGAGAACTTTCCAGTCCTGCGTCTGCACTCTGACAAAGGTGGTTAGTTCTCCTCCGACCTCTTGCGAGACTTTTGTCATGGGTAGGGCATCCTCCAGTCGTTCACGCTTCCGGCCTCCCTGCAGCAAAATGGGGTAGCAGAGCGCCGCATTGGCTTAGCCATGGAGTTGGCTCGTACCTCCATGATCCATGCAACTGCTCCCCATTTTCTGTGGCCGTTTGCGGTCTGGTACGCTGCGCATCAGCTCAACCTCTGGCTCTGTGTCTCCTTGCCCGAGACCGTGCCTACACTGCGCTGGACGGGGAAGGTTGGCGATGCGTCGGTGTTCCAGGTCTGGTGCTCTCGTGCCTTTGTTCGGGATACTTCCGCGCCATTCCCTGCGTCTTCCTTGGCTTTCCCCCTAACGCGCCTGGCAGGCAGTTTTACCACCCCACCTCGCGCCGTGTTCTGCCCTCTCAGGACGTCACGTTTGACGAGTCGATTCCCTTTTACCATCTCTTTCCCTAGCGCACTGCCCCTCTCTCCCCCCCCTGCCGCTCTTCCTCGCTCCAGGTCCCCCTCCGGTAGACCCCCTCCCCCCTCAGGGTCCTGCTCCCTCAAGTGTGTCTTAGGTAGATCCACTCCTCCTGGCTGAGCCTGTCAAGGTCACTATAGACTCTAGTGCTGCTGGAGGTGGTGGTTCTAGGGGTGCCGCGTCTGGGGTTGCTGAGCCTGCGGGTGCGGAGCCTGGGGGTTCTGAGCCTGCGAGTGCGGAGCTTGGGGGTGCTGAGCCTGAAGGTGCGGAGCCTGGGGGTGCTGAGCCTGAGGGTGCGGAGCCTGGGGGTGCTGAGTCTGAGGGTGCAGAGTTTGGGGGTGCTGAGCCTAGGGGTACTGCGTCTGCAGAAGGTCCTGCGGGTGCCTCGCCACAACAGTCTCGTTGGCGGGAGCCTCTCTCACCGCGGCAGCTGCGCGAGTGGTTTGCTCGGTGCACACGCCTTGGGAGTGGCGCTGCAGGAGCTAGAGGCCCTGCTGCTGGAGGCACTCGAGCTGGAGGTGCTGGAGCTACTAGTCATGGAGGTGCTCGAGTTACTGCTGGAGCTGGAGGAACTGGAGGTGCTGGAGCTGCTGGTCATGGAGATGCTCGTACTAGAGGTTCTGGAGCTGCCAGAGCTGGTGGTGTTGGAGGCGCTGGAGCTGGAGACCCAGGAGCTGGAGGCACTGAGTTGGAGGCGCTGGAGCTGGAGGCAGTGGAGCTGGACACCCTGGAGCTGGAGGCACTGGAGCTGGAGACCGTGGAGCTAGAGGCGCTGGCGCTGGAGGCGCTGGAGCTGGAGGAGGTGGAGCTGGAGACCCTGGAGCTAGAGGCGCTGGAGCTGGAGGTGCTGGAGATGGAGGCACTGGAGCAGGAGAACCTGGAGCTGTAGGCACTGGAGCTGGAGACCCTGGAGCTGGAGGCGTTGGCGCTTGAGGCGCTGGAGCTGGAGGAGATGGAGCTGGAGGCACTGGAGTTGGAGGCGCTGGAGCTGGAGGCGCTGGCGCTGGAGGTGCTGGAGCTGAAGGAGCTGGAGTTGGAGGCACTGGAGCTGGAGGCGCTGGAGCTGGAGACCCTGGAGCTGGAGGTGCTGGCGCTGGGGGTGCTGGAGCTGGCGGTACTGGTGCTGGAGGCACTATGTAGCGGCGACCGTTTTTCGTTCCGCTGCCGTTGTCGTCTCTGCCACCACCTGGCTCGGTCCTTCCTCTATTCCACTGCGAGTTCCTCTGCCATCTCCTCCTACGTCCTCAGTTCTATCTCAGTTCAATCATTTTCGTTCAGATTCTTGACAGCGCTCTCATGCGCACCCTCATTCGCTCTCTCATGGGCACCCTCACGCGCTCTCTCACGCACTCTCTCACGCGCTCTCCCACGCGCTCTCTCAAGCGCTCTCTTGAGTGCTCTCCTACGCGCTCTATCACGCGTTCTCTCTTGCACGTTCGCTCGTGTGCACATGCCCTCCTTCGCGCATTGTCTCTTCCCTTCTTCAAATGAAAGTGCTATGCAAGAGGAGACCAATTGACACACAAAAATTACGAAGAGAGCAAAAGAAAAAAGGAAATTTCCGAGGGGGGAGGGAGGATGAAACGACCGAGAACGCACCTGATAACCACGGTGCCTCAGAAAACAGTCCGCGCTCGTGCACCAACCCGTGCTTGCGCACCAACTCGCGATTGCACACCAACCCGCGCTTGCGCACCAACCCGCAATTGCGCACTAACCCGTGCTTGTGCTACCTGTCGCCGGAGGCGACGGCGGGGAGGAGGGAGAGGCGACGTCGGGGAGGAGGGAGAGGCGTCGGCGGGGAGGAGGGAGAGGCGATGGCAGGGAGGAGGGAGAGGCGACGGCAGGGAGGAGGGAGAGGCGACGGCAGGGAGGAGGGAGAGGCGACGGCGGGGAGGAGGGATAGGCGACGGTGGGGAGGTATGGGAGAGGCGACGGCGGGGACGTAAGGGAGAGGCGATGGCGGGGAGGAGGGAGAGGCGACGGCGGGGAAGAGGGAGAGGTGACGGCGAGTAGGAGGGAGAGGCGAGGGCGGGGAGGAAAGGGTGAGTAGATGGCGGGGTGGGACGGAGTGATTGTGAGGTGGGAGGAAGTGCGATGGCGGAGTGGGAGGGAGAGGTGACTGCGGGGAGTTAGGGAGAGGATACGGGGGTTTGGAGGGGAAGCGATGCCTGGGTGGGAGGTACTGGCGATGGCGGGGTGTGAGGGATAGCTAGAGAAATTAGTTTGGGGAGGACAAGGAGTGAGAGCAAAGCAGGTACTTGTCGAGACAAACCAAGATAAAAAACCAAGAAATGAAGAGCGTCTCGAATTTGACAGTTGTGAAAGGGACGGATACTTTGGGCTTGGTTGGGGTTGGCGTGGAGCTGGCGAGAAATTTTCTGCCAACGCAGAACGAGGCACCAAAACTTATTACTGTCAAAATGTTATATTGCTTACTTTGTGTAGGCTAAAATGGGGTAGCCTATAAAGGGTACAACCCAATTAGGGTTAGTACTTGTACCAAACTCTTTCATAGTTAGTTCATTCTTGTTCATTCTTCTGACATGGTTTCAGTGCAGGTCCTTCGCTAGGACCGTTTTTTTTTCCTTGGGCCCACCACTGCGCTGCCCCACTAGTCGCCCCTAGCGACCCTCGTGTCGCCCCTATGCCTAACGCCCTGGCCCGTCGCCCCTAGGCCCGTCGCCCCTAGCCCGGCCCGTCGCCCCTAGGCCCGTCGCCTCGGCCCGTCGCCCCTAGGCCCGTCGCCCATGCCCGTTGCCCATAGGCCCATCGCCCCGGCCCGTCGCTCCTAGGCCCGTCGCCCCTAGGCCGGCCCGTCGCCCGTCGCCCAGCACTCGTCGCTCCTAGGCCCCGGCCCGACAGTCGACCCCAGGCCCCGCGAGCCGCCCCTTCCAGCCCGCCCCTCGACCCTGCAGCTCGCGAGCCGCCCTTGCAGCCCCGCGCGCCAACCCTGGTGGCCCACTCACCGCCCCTCCTGCTCTGCTAGCTGCCCCTTGCAGCCCTCTCACTGCCCCTTGCTGCTGCCTGCCCTGTGCACTGCGCTGCCCTGCTTCTCCTCGCTCTGCGTGCTACGCCACTATGGCTTCTCTCCGCATGCTAGCGTTCGATCATGAGGGACGCCCCCTACAGTTTGACACGTGGCTCAAGGACCTGCAGCTGTACCTACTGAGCGACTCTAGGGATAGTGTTTCGTTGTTTGACCACACGTCTGGCACCGCTCCCGCCCCTCCCGCCACAGCTGACAGTGCGACCTGCTCACAGTAGCTTACTCGCGACGCTGCTGCCCACTTAGCCATTTGCAACCACCTGCCGTTGACCGAATGCACTCACTTGTAAACTGCTTCAAAAATTCTGAAACTTTGAGGGTCTGAAGAACACATGTTGAAGCACCTCCCCACAAAATTCCAGAAGCTGAGCAGGCTTGTAGGCAGAATGGGAGTGCGATGACCGTGCCACTATAGTGCTTTGGCACAACACAAGAAAGCAAGAACAGCTCAAGCAAACCTTGCACAAAAAACAGTGTATGTTCACACACTGTGTACAAGAAAGCAAAAAGGCCAAAGGCCATGACGCTAGCTCTTCAGGCACGGCACACTAGGTGCCATGCCAGAGCCCAAGTGTTACAGCCCGCTGCACGAGCATGCTAGGCACTAGCCGGCTAGTTGCCAATGGCCTAGACGAGCGTCTGGGGCGCCAACACCTTAAAAGCCGGTACTCTAAGCGCTAGTGCAGAAAGCGACACTCATTTGTAAAAGTAGCTCCAGTTGCCCAAGCACCAGCAGAAAACATGCTAGTGCCTACGCCCCAGCATGCTCATGCGCTCTCTCACGCACTCTCACGCACTCTCTCACGCGCTCCCTCACATGCTCCCTCATGTGCTCCCTCACGCACTCCCTCACACGCACCCAAACGCGCACCCTCATGCGCAATCTCAAGCTCACTCTCACGCGCTCTCTCACGAGCCTCTCAATTCGCTCGCGCACAATCTCATGCGTACTCTCATGCGCACACTCATAAGAACTCTCATGCGCACTCTCACGTGCACTCTCACGCGCACTCTCACACGCACTCTCACGCGCACTCTCACGCGCACTCACGCGCACTCTCACGCGCACTCTCACACGCACTCTCACGCGCACTCTCACGTGCTCTCTCATGCACTCTCTCACGTGCTCTCATGCACTCTCTCACGCATTCTCTCATGCACTCTCACGCGCTCTCTCACGCGCACTCTCACGCGCACTCTCACGCGCTCTCTCACGCGCTCTCTCACGTGCTCTCTCAAGCGCTCTCTCAGGCACACTCTGACGCGCTCTCTCTCGCGCTCTCTCTTGCGCTCTCTCTCACGCACTCTCACGCACATTCTCTCTCTCACGCGCTCTCTCACGCGCTCCCTCACGTGCTCTCTCTCACGCGCTCTCACGCGCACTTTTGCACGCACTCTCATGCGCACTCTCATGCGTACTCGCACACGCTCTCTCACGCGCACTCTCACGCGCTCTCTCGCGCACTCTCTCGCGTGCTCTCTAACGCGCTCTCTCACGTGCTCTCTCACGCGCACTCTCGCGCACTCTCTTATGCGCACTCTCATGCAAACTCTCACACACACTCTCCCGTGCACTCTCACGTGAATCTCTCTCTCACGAGCTCTCTCATGCCCTCTCTCACGCGCACTCTGACGTGCACACTCATGCTCTCTCACACGCTCTCTCACGCGCTCTCTCATAGGAACTCTCACGCACTCTCTCACGCGCTCTCGCACGCACTCTCTCACTCGCTCTCTCATGCCCTCTCTCACGCGCTCTCTCACACGCTCTCTCATGCGCACTCTGACACGCACTCTCACGCGCTCTCTCACACGCACTCTCAGACACACTCTCACGCGCTCACTCTCGCGCACTCTCACGCGCATTCTCTCTCTCACATGCCTTCTCACGCACTCTCTCACACGCACTCTCACACGTACTCTCACTCTCTCTCACACATTCTCTCATACGTAACCTCACACGTGCTCTCTCACACACTCTCTCATGCGCTCTCTCATGCGCACCCTCACAAGCTCCCTCGCGCACTCCCTCGCGCGCTCTCTCATGCCTCTCTCATGCGCTATCTCACGCGCTCTCTCACGCGCTCTCACGTGCACACTCACGCGCTCTCTCACACCCTCTCACACGCACTCTCACACGCGCTCTCTCACGCGCTGTCTCACGCGCTCTCTCACGCGCTCTCTCACGCGCTCTCTCACGCCCTCTCTCATGCACACCCTCACGCGCTCCCTCACGCGCTTGTCAAAATGTTATAATGCTTATATTGTGTAGGCTGTAGTGGGGTAGGGTAGCCCATAAGGGGTACAACCCAATTAGGGTTAGAACATGTACTCAGTTCAATCTCAATTCAATCATTCTCGTTCAGATTCTCAACATGGTTTCAGAGCAGATCCTGTTCCAGGACCTTTTTTTTAAGGGCCCACCGCATAGTTCCCTGCCCGTAGCGCTGCCCTACTAGTTGCGCTGCCCTTCCCTGCCCGTCGCGTCGCCCTGATGGCCGAGCGCTGCCCTGCCCGTAGCGCTGCCCTACTAGTTGCGCTGCCCTTCCCTGCCCGTCGCGTCGCCCTGATGGCCGAGCGCTGCCCTGCCCGTAGCGCTGCCCTACTAGTTGCGCTGCCCTTCCCTGCCCGTCGCGTCGCCCTGATGGCCGAGCGCTGCCCTGCCCTGCCCGTCGCGCCGCCCTGCCAGCCGCGCACCGCACTGCCCTGCCTGTCGCGCCGCCTTGCTGGCTGCGCGCTGCCCTGCCCTGCCCGTCGCGCTGCCCTGCTGATAGCGCGCCGCCCTCCCCTGCCCGTCGCGTCGCCCTGCTGGCCGACGCGTCGCCCTGCAATGCCCGCGCGCCGCCCTGCTGGCCGCCACGCCGCCCTGCCCTGCCCGCGCGCTGCCCTGCTGGCCACCGTGCCACCCTGCCCTACCCGCGTGCCGCCCTGCTGGCCGCCGCGCCGTCCTGCCCTGCCCGCGCGTTGCCCTGCTGGCTGCCGCGCCGCCCTGCCCTGCGCGCGCGCCGCACTGCTGGCCGCCGCCCTGCCCTGCCAGTTGCGCCACCCTGCCCTGGCCGCGCGCCGCTCTTCCCTAGCCATGCGCCGCCCCGCCCTGCCCTGCGCGCTTTCCTAGTGCTCGCACACCGCCCTGCCCGTCGCGCCGTCCTTGGAGTGGAGCTGCCGGAGCTGGAGCCTGTGGAGCTGGAGGTGCTTGAGTTACTGCTGGAGCTGGTGGTACTGGAGGTACTGCGGCTGCTGGTCCTGGAGGAGCTCGTACCAGGGGTACTGGAGCTGCCGGGACTGGTGGTGTTGGGGGCGCTGGAGCTGGGGACCCTACGGAGCCCGGAGCTGCTAGGGCTGGAGGCACTGGAGCTGGAGGCACTGGCGCTGGTGGCGCTGGAGCTGGAGGAGCTGGAGCTGGAGGCACTGGTGCGGGAGGTGCTAGAGCTGGAGCAGCTGGAGCTGTTAACCCTGGAGATGGAGGTGCTGGCACTGGGGGTGCTGGTGGTACTGGTGCTGGAGGCACTGTGCGGCCGCGCCCGTACTTCGTTCCCCTGCTTCAGCAGGTTCTTGGTGTCCCGTCTTCTACTGGCCTTACTCCTCCCCTACTGTGTCCACCGCCTAACCAGTTACAGCCGCCGTTGCAGCCAGCCTCCCCACTGCTTGCTCCTTCTCCTTACGCTGAGTAGTCCAGTGGTCCTACAGAGCGTCGTGAGCCTGCGTCTCGTCCTGTCTCGCCTATTTGCACTGCTTGTCGCGTTCCTCGTTCGTCCTTCCTCTGTTCCACTGCGTGTTCCTCTGCCGCCTCCTCCTGAGTCCTCTTTTCCTACCGTCCCTGATCCTGAGTCTGACCTTTTGCATGCTGCTGGTCCCACTGTCTCTCGTCTCCTCACCACTGTTGTCACTGACCCTTCTTTTGAGTCCACTGCTGCGTCTGACCTTGTTGCTGAGATGCTTGACTTTGCTGCTGCCTGTCGTCTCGACTACGCCACTGCTCTTGTTGCTGAGTTTTAGTCTCCTAGTCCTCCGTCCGTCAGGGGTGAGTGTGCTCTTGGCACGTACGTCCTTGAGGACAGGCAGGGGGACTTTGAGTGTCTTGCAGCTGCTGTACCTCGTTTCGCTTCCATGCTGCTTGCCCCTGAGGGAGACCCAGATGCACCAAACATCCCGACCCCACGCTCTTACGCAGAGGCGATTACGGGTCCTTACTCCTCTCAGTGGCAGGCAGCCATGGATGCCGAGATGGCATCCTGGAAGTCCACAGGCACCTACGTCGACCCACTTCCCCCGTCTCGGGCGAACATAGTCGATGGCATGTGGATTTTCAGGGATAAGCCGCCGCCAGATTCTCCGCCTGCCTTCAAGGCACGTTACGTTGCTCAAGGCTTCAATCAGCGACAAGGGGTTGACTACTTCCAGACCTTCTCCCCCACCCCGAAGATGACTGCTCTTTGGGTGTTGCTGCACGTCGCTGCTTAGCGTGACTATGAGCTGCACTCTCTTGACTTCAGCACAGCTTTCTTGCAGGGCAGCCTGCACGAGGAGATCTTGCTGCGCCGCCCACCTGGCTTCACTGGGTCGTTTCCTGCAGGTACCTAGTGGAGCCTCCGGCGGCTAGTCTACGGTCTCCGCCAGGCGCCTCGCGAGTGGCACGACACACTGAGGACTACACTTGCGCCTCTTGGGTTTGCTCCTTCTACTACTGACCCGCCGCTGTTTCTACGCACCAATAGCTCGCTACCGCCGTTCTACGTCCTCGTCTACGTCGACGACCTGGTCTTTGGCACCGCTAACACTGAGGCACTGACCCTTGTGAAGTCGGAGCTGCAGAAGAGACACACCTGCTCTGACCTGGGTGAACTACGCAGCTATCTTGGCTTGCAGATCACCCGGGACAGAGCACGGCGCACCATCACTCGGACTCAGTCACACATGGTGCACCAGGTGATTCAGCGCTTTGGCTTCCAGTTCTCCTCGCCACAGCCCACTCCTCTGTCTACCGGCCACTCGCTCTCATCTCATCTCGGACGAGTCCGTAGAGCCGAGTGGTCCGTACCCAGAGCTTGTGGGTTGCCTCATGTACCTGATGACGTGCACACGACCTGACCTCACGTACCCTCTCAGCCTCCTGGCTCGCTATATGGCTCCCGGTAGGCACCGAAAGGTGCACTGGGATGCTGCGAAGAGGGTAATGCATTACTTGTGCAGTACGTCGGGCATGGGGCTCGTGCTTGGAGGACAGGGTCTAGTTCTCCTCACTGGTCACGCAGACGCTTCTTGGGTTGACGACTCAGCTACGCAGCGGTCGTCACAGGGTTACACCTTCAGGCTTGGTTGCGGCTCTGTTTCTTGGCGGTCTACCCGCTCGTCTTCGGTTCTCAGCTCCAGTTGTGAGACTGCGATCCACGCAAGGGCCATGGCTGCACTGGAGCTACGCTGGCTCACCTACTTGCAGACAGACTTGGGAGAGCAACCTCGTTCGCCTCCAGTTCTGTACGTAGACAACAAGGCCATGATTGCCTTGTGTCAGGAGCACAGACTGGAGCACAGAACGAAGCACATTGCTCTGCGATACTTCCTTGCTTGAGAGTTGCAGCAGCGTGGCCAGCTTCGTCTTGCGTACGTGGCCACTAGGGCCAACACTGCTGATATATTCACCAACGCACTTCCGCCTGGTGATCTTCAGCACTTCTCTACGTGTTAGGCCTTGTGCCTACTTTGCCTCACTTGCTCACTGCATGACTTTGCTTGTACTGTGATCTCTATATATACATGCATGCTTACACTTGCTAGGGTATGATCACTGTATTGTTTGTTCTCTTTTATATAACTCTGCATGTGAACTGACCTTGTGGCCTTTGCTTGTGCTCGGAATGTTTGGTGACTTTGTGATCC